AGTTCTAATATTTTCCAAGGACTGTAAAAATTATTGGGCACTGTTTCTACTGAAATTGCAAATCTGTAGCTTTTATGACAATTGGCCCATCCTTGCACTGCACCTGGTGTTCCTAACGTAAGGTTACCACATAAAATTTGTATTTCTGTGCATTGCAGTAAGTGCATTTTAGAGCCACAATTTCTATGTTAACACGGTGTTAAACATCGTCACTCGGATGTGCAGGACGCAGCAAACTGGTTTTATTACATAACTATGAATTTGCAGCTGGGTCCTAGCGAGGCACAGCGGTTGCTGCAAGATATAAAAGGATTGGACTGTCTCAGTTGCACACCCAACATTTCGCTCAATATTTTATGTAGCATCATCTGGCACACATTAATTACGTTGTATTATTACTGTTTTAAAAACTCATAGCTATAAATAAGAAGCCATTTTTTCCTGCTGCTTTGAACTTGAAGAAAAATGCTAGCACTAACAGCAGCATGTGAAGGTTTACATTTATCAGTAAGCGAAAGCCTAAACAACTACATGAGTAATGTCTGCTGTCTTTCAAAGGGTCCGTCTCAGCAGGAGCTGACATCTGAAGGTCCTCACTAAAGCATGTTCTGAGAATCTCCAGTAAATCGGCTGATGGCAGCTTTTACTGTGCACTGAAGAGTACTTTAACTAGAAAGCCAAATGCCAAATTAATCACAGATAAAAATAGCAAGCTGCTCGGTTCTCTTTGTAAAATCAGAAGTACTGCAATTTTTTTTCTTTGTGAAGCTGAATTTTCTCCAGATTAAAGCCAAGCGCTATATAACCAGTGAAGGGTACTCTCAGATCAATTTATTTTAGTGGTTTTTCATATTGTAATAGAAATAACTGCAATTAAAACTCGAAGACGAGTACAACTTTTACTACAGAAAAACTGTAATGGAAAATATTCTTTCAAGAAAATGAAAGACTTTTAAGTAATCACACAGAATCACACAATATCAGGAGTTGGAAGGGACCTCGAAAGCTCATCCAGTCCAACCCCTGCCAGAGCAGGATCACCAGACCAGGTCACACAGGAACACGGCCAGGCGGGTTTTGAATGTCTGCAGAGAAGGAGACTCCACAGCCTCTCTGGGCAGCCTGGGCCATGCTCTGGCACCCTCACAGGGAAAAAGTTTTTCCTTATGTTCAGGTTGAACCTCCCATGCTCCAGCTTGCTCCCATTGCCCCTTGTCCTGTCATTGGACATCGCAGAGAAGATCCTGGCTCCTTCCTCCTGACACTCACCCTTTACAAATTTATAACCATGAATGAGGTCTCCCCTCAGTCTCCTCTGCTCCAAGCTAAACAGACCCAGCTCCCTCAGCCGCTCCTCATAAGGGAGATGCTCCACTCCCTCCATCATCTTTGTGGCTCTGTGCTGGTCTCTTTCAAGCAATTCCCTGTCCTTCTTGAACTGAGGGATCCAGAATATTAATAGCATATTAAGTACAGCATTATGACTCTTAAGAAAGACCTAGAATCTTGTCTAGTCTGAAGCTATATCACTTCTCTCATGTATAAAGCACCTGAGTGCATCAACTTCTTGCACTTAGATGACTATTGTATACTTATCTATGTTACCTATGTATCACATACAGTTGTGGCCTCTAAAACCATTAATTTGAACACCTTGGAATCATTAATGTATTTGTTCTCACAGCACAGTGGAGAAGTATTTAAGATTATGAACAGAAAGAATAATTCATTACCTTGGGAATCTGTAACAAAATGGAAGCAGCAATCAAATTTAACACAAAGTCCTTTGTTTATCATCTTCATTTTGGTGCTTTTCTAACTCAGACAAGTAAAAATATTTGGATGATTAGGGAAGCACATCTAAAGGAATTCTCTGTCTTCCAGTGCACACTGCAGTAAGTCACTTAAGCAGCAGTCTCAGGAGTTAATTTGACAGAAAACAGTAACCTAAAAAAACGAAGCTAACTCTCTTTTGAACACTGATGGATGCAAGAGAAGCACAGGTATCACTGGAGAAGCAGTCGTTTCATTATCTCTCAAACTACTTAGCATAACAAAACACGTTACTGTCAGGACAGTCTGTCTGTGAATACTTGCCCTAACAAGTCCTATCATGCACTCCTTGTACTAAGTACAAGCTATCCAGTCTGTAGGTTTACAAACATCACATTATGCAAACAGCTTCAAGTAAATACTTTTACCTAGTTTGAAAATCTGTCACCTTCCACTGCACCACATTAAGTTCTGGTGTTAAAGTAACATTTCATCCACAGTAATAGCTAAATATTTTAAATACTTATGTAATATACTGTAAACTCTACGTAAACACCACATACACAAAAAAATCCTTACAAAGAACAGGAAGATCATTTTGATTAGCAAAGACAACTCAAACGTATTGCCAAAATAATTTTTCTGTTCTTACGACTTATCCCCAAACCACTCCCAGTAAAGGCACAGATAGCGGTGATTTTTTTTTTCCTTCTAAACACACAAAACCAGAATCAACACAACAGGCTTGTGCAGTCAAACGCTGCACTAGTTGTAGGAAAAACAGGTAAGGAACCTGCATTAGTGTAAGGATGTCCCAGGAAGCTTCTTGGCAATAAAAGGTGTCCAGCATCTGCTTACTGTCCTAGGTTGGAATGCAGAAAAGAATCAGAAATTAAACTGCCTTTAGCAGAACTTTACATCTTGGCTATGAGCGAGTGGCAGCTGGAGCTGCCCGTTCCAGGGCAGCACGGAGGCTCATCTCACAAGCAGCTGCTCATGGCATTTAGTAGAGATGACATTTTAAAAAATAAATTGGTAATTATTGTTCAAAGATTATACAGTATTTGACAATACTTTTCATCTTGTGTAAACAAAAACCTTTAAATGAGTAATCTTTTAAAATGTAGTGTAACTACACAACTTATCACAATGCTTCAGTACGTAACAGAGTACAAACCAAAAGTCATTTAAATCATTCCTTTGATTATTAGAGTAGCTGAAAAGTTCTCTCACAACAAATGATGCCGTGTTTGGCAAAGAAATGCAATTGGTAATTCTTTAAACAAAGATCCAAATGCATGTTATCCCCTTTTTGTTAGAAATAGAAGCACTTTAAAAGTATTTTAATAAATCTATATCCTAAGCTATCTAATAAAACTAGTACACTAAACACATTGCATTGCGTGATTTATACGCATTGATGAACTCTGACTCAAATGCTCTGAGATTCCTAGAAGACAGAACGCATTGCTGGAGTCTGTCACATTGTGCTTCAAGTGATCTTTGGAAAGTTCGAAAAAACTCTGTTTCGGCATTGCTGCTTTTAGAGCATGTTCCAAGTACTTATTTAACCGTCACCAGCGATCTAGAAATCTGCAAAAGATGCTGAAATATTGCATTCATGTATCAAAAAGTACAAAGACTGAGCACTGAGTTCTCTGTGTAGAAATGGAGCTTGAGGTATTTATACAAACCTTTATCATGGAGATTAAATCTTACCCATTGTATGTTGTCTGCAACCATTCAGGACTTGGTACATGAAGTATCGTTCCTATGTTATTATTTTGAAGCTCTTGCACAAGGTGCAAATATTAGCTAGAAAATGTGAATACTGATGAAGTACTAAGTTCAGTACAAAAGAGTAAAGCAATTGGCCTGCACTGAGACTTAGAAAATGAACAAGTAGGTCCTGCAGCCTGCGCAGAACCCCTGCCACCCCCCCATGGCCTGCACAGGGGCTGCCAACAGGAGCACACTGCATCCACCCGAGCTGCAGCACAGACACCTCAAGTCAGATCCCTTCCTCTGTTCTCAACAGCGCATCTTACAGCAACCAGATCAAAGAGGGGTTCTGTTGAGACTAAGGGTGACTTCTGGCCGTATTGACCAAGTATATTTTATCGGTCAAAAACCTCTAGGATAGATTAAAAATAATAAAACACTGTATGGATTCACTCAGTTTCTTTAAATGGTTATGTTAAATCCTGTAAACACCAGATATCCTCTGGGGTAAAAACAAAACAGAAAACCTGAAAACACACCCACAAAACCCGAAAGCTACAAGACAGACACAGTCCAGAGTTGGCACAAAGGGGCTGGATCACCAGCATCTCAGTTTGAAATTCAGCAGGTGAGGCTTCTCATTTAAGCACATCACTCAAGTGGGCTTCTCAGTTTGCTTTTGATAACGGAAAGTGTGTCAAATAATTTTCAGGAACTTGTTTCCATCTTCTCTGTGAACTCCACTTCTTTCAGAACTGGAGGAGATTTTTGTTAATCTGAAAATCACACTATTTTATAGTCAGGATAGGGACAATCTGAAAAAAAAGCGTTATAATTTCTCATTCATGCACAAATGTTACAATTTCTCAAGTGCTTAACTCGTCAGTTTTCTAGACTCTTGTCTGTCAGAGAAGGGAACAAAGTTCTCTGGGGAAGTATCTGCAACACTAAACTAAGTACAAAACATCTTCATTTCCTCTCAGGATAAAATGTAAAATAGTCAACATGGCCTAAAATCGTGCACTATTTTATTTACATGCTTGTAATTTGACGAGATAGCTTAACACCTTCATATGGCCTTTGTAAATTGTCTTTCAAGTTTGTGTGACTATAGCTAGTGTTATACGATTAGTTTCTTATAAAGCACATGCACTCATGAAAGGCTATGATAAACTGAACACACTTGCTACAGGGCATGTTTGAAACACTACTGCTTGCAAGAACATCAGTTTGATGTAGCCCATTATAGAACAAAAGAGGCCAACATTAAAACTTGGCATGCCAGCACACTTTAATTCTGTATTTGTGAAATAATTTTTTTCCAACTTAAGAGCCCTTTTCACTACTTTAAAAGGAAAACCCACACATACACACAAAATTCTAACGATTCTAACACCGTATTTGTTCTTTACCAACTAGCATATACCTTGTTTTAATTGTTTAAAGCGATTAAATCCCTTAAGATTGTGCATATCCAGGCATTACTGAGGAAATAAAGACACCCATCACTATTATTCTTAAATTTTATTCCACAATAAAAAATAGAAGATAGAAGAAATAGAGTGTTCAAGAATAAAAGCAATTACTGGTCAATGTAAGGAGCAGTAAACTAATTATACGAATGATGATTAAGGACCTGCTTCATCAAAAGTAATTCTAGGTCCTCTATGGCATAGTCATAGGCTGCTACAAAACAGAAACCCAGATTATCTTTTACTGAAGCAGGTCCTGCATTATCTACAGAACACTTGATTTAATATTCTATTTATCTTTTTCTTTTTGTTCTTTTTCCTTCTTTTCACGTTCAGCTTTTGCTTCCTCCTCCTCATGTTGTTTTATCAACTGTTCCACCTCCTTCTGCTTCAGAACCCTTATTACTGTCTTTCCGTTCTCTCTTGTCAGTGTTGCAATTTCAACTGAAACATATGGAACAGACAGCGGCGTTACATTTTGTCCTTCAGACAGAGCAATCATCAGAAGGGTAAGATGTGTGGTTACAACTCCAATGACACGGAAACCTCCTGTCCTGCCTCTACAAAGCAGCTGGGCTGGCAAGCCAGCCAGCATCCTCCTCTTCTGCAGCAGCGTACACGAACGCATTAACACCTCTCAGTGCCAGACACGCAGCCATGCCTGCTACTGCGCCAATGCAGCCTGCAATCCCTGAACTGGGGTCTGGCCCCTGGAGCTGACCAAGGTGCATCGTCCTCAACAAAGCTCCCTGTACACCTTTTAGAAAGGTTAAGGCTGAGAGCTGCTGCATCTCCTTAAAAATATTTCTCACATGACAACTAAAAATCCAATAAACCACATCTAGTGTATACACATTCACCACATTGTCTTTCCTTAAGCCAAGGGTGTTACCCCGTATTAGCGAAGTGCTTACCTTTCTCTGCAGACAGTTTACTGACATCCATGGTTTTGTTGAGAACTTTAATGGCTAACGCAAGTGCGGTCTTTAAAGTCATTTCTCCTTCTTTGTAGTCCTGCTTTAGCATTGACACAGCTGCCTATAAATTTTACAGA